ATGGACGTCCGGATTACGGACTTTGTACTGTATAACATGGCGCAGCCGTAGTCGTGTGGAGTAGTATTACAACTAATTGCCAGGCAATTCCTTTGGTTGTTTTTCTTCTCAGCAGACGCAAGATGGAATTTTGTCACCCACCGCGAGGCCCAAGTTTCGACGGCAATGTGGCCAAAAACTGCCGCAGATTCAAGCAGCTGTTCCAGATTTATATGAAAGCTTCAGGAAATGCTTCAAAAGATTCAGATGTGAAAGTTGCTTTATTTTTAAATGCCGCTGGTGAGGAAACAGTTGAAAAGTTTAACACGCTCAATCTTTCAACAGGTGATGGACATGGAAACATGCCTTCGCTTTCTAGATCCTTTGGTAGCTCCAGAATCGGAAATTCTTTTTGACATAATCGAAAGTTCAAGCATACTTTTATAAAATTGCTTGAACAGTCTGCAAAAAATAATAAGCCGGATCTAATTCGAAGATTAAGGAATAACACAATCTGCAACATTAACTGAAAAAGATAATTTTAGCTTAGCTTATACCGTCCGTTATACATTAAACGCGCATGCGTAAACACATATGCGCATGCATAAAGGTATTATGCGCATGCGTAAATGCTATGCATGCGCAGAAAGTTTGTAGCTTTGAGGTCCGGCTTATAGATCATTCCAGATTAAAGACTTTGTACTGTATTACCATTCTCAAATGCCTTTTTTTTTTTTTTTTTTTTTCTTTGTTGTATTTCACATTTCAATTGTTTTTATCGATAAACTGTGGTATTTGTAGGCTAAAAACTCAATTCTAAAATATGTGCTTTTGGGATTTGCCTGTAAAAGAAGAAATTACGGTAAACATTGTGTAGTGATACAGAAATTTGCCTCAAATTTTTAAAGGAAAACAACTGTTTTGAATCTAAAGTGACTGTCACGAAATTTTCATCAATACACGAGAACCAAAAACCTGCCTGTAAGTAGTTTTACAGATTAATTTTCAGGATACACAATTTAACTAATTTTTTTATATGAACTTCTTTCTTTTTGTAGCAACCAATTACTATACTACTTTTTTTTTAGTTAAAAAAAATGATAATATAAGAAGCATAAGAATTTGTTTTCTGCATCAGACAGGCAACAGGTTCATGGCGAGCACCTCTCTTACCAAAGCGTTCTCTTGGGTCGGCACGCTAACTGTATATATCGTCTTGTGGGGACAGGCAATTCGCACGGCTAAGCCTAACTAAATATTCGTATAAATTATTTGTATAAATTAAATTTTTCATCCAATTGTTCCAATTTTTGGTACATTATGAGAAGCACATTCAGGTAGTTGTCAGAAATAAGTTAAAACCTTTATTGTTATATTTTCCTTATAAAATTTATAAAATTCTGGAATAATAATTTTTCCTTTATCCCACAATTAAATATATATGGAAAATATCCAAAAAAGCAGATTTTATTTAACACAACACATAATTAAAATTAAAAAATATTAAAACAGTCTTTCATAAAAATTCAATGTGCAAACAACGAAAAGGAAGCAACATTTCAAAAAAGAGACAGTGTATGATATTCTTTGAAACATGGGTGTATGCAAAGTCCAACTTTGCAAATGTCACAGGACTAGAATATCAGCAAATTTGACTCATTTAGCATTTGTGTATCTTCTACGGTCAGATAGCGCTTTAGTTTTGCCATTAATAAAGGTAGAACACCAGCAATAGAACATTTAAAAAAAAACTTTCAATAATCCATGCAAAATATTCGTCTCAATGCCGAAAAAATCTAAGAGTAATAAAAAAGTCTCTAATGATAGAACATCTACTCCACTATACGGGGATAAAAAAAATTAAAAAAAATAAAATAAATTAATTAAATTAAAAAGTATTCCAGAGCATTGAGAATATGTTCATTTGTTTATATGAAATGATGCAGTAAGAGCCATCCGTTACTCAACACTAATGAATTAGCATTTGTGTATATTCTTCTACGTTCAGCATTTGTGTATATTCTACTACGCAAAAATAAAAATAAAAAGTACCTCAAAGCATCAAGAACACATGCATTTGTTCATATCAAATGACACAGTTAAAGAGACATTACATTGCTCAACAACCACCCACGAATCTCCCTCTCATTTCGAAACAAAATACCAAAAATAAAAACATTGCATAGGAATGAAGGTACACATACTTAGTTTTCGATATATTTCCCCATAACAGACATACAGCTACATCTACTGGCAACAAAAAATACTAATTAAATGTTCTATCTAAAAAGTAAAATGTGGTACGCCCTGCCATAGAGTGAATTTAATGGTGATTCAAATATAAGACACTCGGCCATGAAGTAATGCTCGCTGCTGATGCACATATGTCACACCCTCACTGAACGGGTTAAGAATATATACAATTATTATTGTAATAATTTTATAACAGCTTCAACTTCTATAATTTTCTCAGACTCAATATTCATTGTACATTAATAAAATTTTCTAAAAGAAGAAAGGTACTGTTCTGTTATCGGAACCAGTGTTGTCATTTAATGTTTTGCTAAACTCGCCAAGACACTGGTTTGTGGGAAGTCGCTAATGTTTACTTTTAAAATTATTACAATGTTTAATTTTTTGAATAAGCAAAATAATGATTTTTCAAAATTGGCAACAAGAATACAAACTCTCAAGATGTAACAGTTGCTTATGTTTTTATTATTACTGTAATTACCATAGATATGAAAATTAATGACTTACCTAATAATGAAACATCTTCATACAGTTTCTTCAGGTAAAAGGAGTCACTCACTATTAAAGAAAGTGCATGAAAAATCATAAAATGAAACTCTATTTCTATTGGATGGAAGCACCAAAATGGAGATGTGAAGATTACGGAAGAAAAAAAAAAAAAAGGGGGATTACATTCCCAAAATTAGTATGAAGGCTCGAGAATCAGTTTCTTAATAGCAGTTGTTTCATTTATACATGGTGTTTAGTATTAATTTCCATTAAATTTTGTCAATATAAACTTGATATGCATCCTTGCACTGTTGTTGACTGGAACAGTTATTTAAGTGAAGTCTGTAGCTATGCATTTAATATCTAGATCATTGGTTAAAGTAGGCTGCACTGATATTGTCAAAGTTGACAAAAGTCTTTTTTGCATTAAAAAAAAAAAAAAAAAAAAAAAAAGTTAGTCGTATCCTTTCGCCCCAGTGGGTGTATGGTGTGATTTGCCGAGAAACAAAAGGATGATTTTGATTTTTAGTTGCTGTACATAACTGTTCTGACAGAATTTTGCTTAAAGTCACAGAAGAAAATATTATTGATGCCACTAAAATATACTCAGACTATTAGAATGGGTATTAACACTGAAGAATAAAAAGAGGTCCGATTTGAACCTTTCTGCCTTAACTATAAATAGTATAATTTTGTTGATTCCAATACTAGTTGTCATTGCAAACTATAGAAAGGTTATGGGGCAGTGCAAAACAGTGACGTGGCATACTTCAATATGCACTGACCATAACCAATTAGATTCTTGTTTACGTTGCGGCAACAGAGTCTTAAAATGTAAGAGTTTCCAGACACTTTAAATCATATCCAGTGTTCCATGTCTCTGTATTAATCTAAATTCGCTAACCAAATCCCCTCTCCCCCGACTTCTTTACAAGTTGTTTAATTTACATTAAAAATTTCTAATTTTATGAATATCAGTAATGTTACTTCTTTCTTTAGATTTTTCTTCAACTTTACTGTATTGTTAATATGTTGGTGATCAATTTTATCCTTTGAATTTTTTGCCAGATCATCTGCTTTTGACGATATCTCAATCTGGTCCCAATAACAGAACAGTAACGAAGAAAGTCTATATATATCAAATGTAACATAACAAATTACCATCTACTTTAATGAAAATTTCGAAATCTTCACTACATATCAGTAAAAAGTATACAATATTATTGCGAACTAGGCTTTTTTTTTTTTATCGGCTTCTTTTTAAATGTTAAGTCCAGATAAGTAAGAAGAAATAACAATTCATCACGAAAATTAGTGGAATAAATCGTTGCAAACAGCTCAAAGAGAACATGAATTTTAAGTAATCCTTCCGTAGCCCACAAAATATATCATTAAGTACGCAAATCACTCTCAAGGTAAACCTCAAATCGTAATTCAGATAATCAAAACTGATCTCCCTAGCTCTCAGATGCTAGGTCGATGTGTACATGGATAAAATTGACAAAAATCCAATTCTTCTTACTCTTGTAAAAAGCGACAAACAAATAAGTGGGCAATTCTGCATTTTAGCAGCGAAATTGTTTCTAAGTTCTTATTAACTAAAATCACGATCTGAATTTTCCGGAAAATGTCACATGACATGTATCATGATCTCTCATTTCTCTGAGACAAAATAATCTGTGATTCGAACTGTGTACTTCTCAGATTATTGCTAAAGTCTTACCTAGTAACCTTTATCGCCTTACCAAAATGTCGCCAATCTACCTGTTACCATATTCCAAAGATTAGCTATTTGCTCCCTACAGAGAAAGATTTTTACATAATTATATCATAAATCAAAGCACGAATGTTTCGCGAAATTTCAGGATTTAATTCGTGATCATCCCAAGAATTTGGGTTTCACTCTGGCCAAAAAACTGCTACCGTAACAATTATTTTATAGACAGAACCTCTGAATTCGAGTTTCTTTTTTTAAAAAACAATTCTTAATTTTATCTTATTTTAGAACATATAAAATAATTTATCTTAAATTCTAACGCATGAAAGAGATCAACTTCACCATGAACTATAATAAAAATAGATTCAATTAAAAATTCTTCAAATAAAAACTTCATTTTGGTTCATCAAAAAAAAAAAAAAAAAAAAAAAAAAAGAGAGAGAGAGAGAGAGAAAGCACCATTTAAGGCTCTTCAATACATAAAAAAACAGAAAAGTTTACATATTCTGATTAATTTAACACGTATTCTCAAAGCCTCTTTGGGATGATCTTAATAAAATACCTTGATATTCTTGGAATAAACAACAGATTCCGAGGGCAAGCAGAAAAAACACATCTGAAAGCCATAGTTACAATATTACATAACTTTCTCAAATTCTCATTCCTCAGAGCGGCTAGAATTGTAAATAATGACAAACTGTTGCCAGATAGACATTCTAAATGTGTACTTGTGAACTACCCATGTACTAGATATTAAACTACTGTTAAAGACATAAGAGGAATATCAAGAAATCACGTGAGATACGTATGAATAATTTTTTCCCCTGGTATAATGTACAGGTACAGGTTAGTTAAATAAAGTGATTTTCAAAGCATGCACCTCGAAATGATATACAAAAAAATCAAAAATAATTTCTTTTTCAGACGAAAGTATCCGGTAAAATGATTGAATTAGATAGTTAAGACTACGATAAAGCTTCCTAGGGCTGTTTGCTTAAGGAGATACATGCCTCCGTGCAACACTCTGTAAGGAAAGCTGGCTGTTATTCACTACTGCTAAGAACATAGGAGGGAAAAAACCATGAAGTTTCTCATGCAGCTATGAAGCTTGCTCGTTTACCGGGATTTAAACCATGGCTCAACTACCCGGTATTCAGCAGTCTTTTCCTTCTGCCACTGAAAATAAAAAGAAATAATAGGAACTTGAAAATCTTTAAATTATGTTCAGATATATTTTTGTGAAGGGGAGGAACTCATCGAATTAGCCAATCCGAGACTGTATAAATCCGTCTCAGGTTACAATGAATGATGGCTATTTTATACAGTCCAGTTTTAGACAAAGAAATAATGGATTTTGTTTTTTATTTTGTACAGTCCAGTTCCTTAGACAAAGACAAGACATGGTCTTTTTTTTATGGCGGGCACTTTTAGACATTTTTAGGCTTACGCCACAACTAAAGCCAGAAGTGGTGGTCATTTTATTATACAGACGGCCACCGTTACTTTGTATAAGGGACAAATAATTTACATCCATGTCTTCTCTGGATTTAGAATCTAGGCTCTTAATATCGTGGTCGGCTTCCCTAACCACTATACCGTCCGGGCGACGGACTGGATCATATAAGTGTTCATCTTAGACGCTATAAATTGGAAGTTGCTCTGAATTTCAAACGACGTCCACTTTCTTGGATATTAGCATTTTTTGTTTTGATATCAAGAACCTATTAATGATGGAGTGAATTAGATCACTTGACGTGTGTCGAATGGAAAGAGAGTGACAGCGCGCTTTTACTCTGCGTCAGATAAAAGAATGTCTGGAACAACAAAAGGATGATAAGAAGAATCGAGATGGTAGAATGTGATATTTCACTTAGCCGCCATCAGTCGGCGAAGAAAGGTGTTATGAATGAAAATAGACAAGCAATGTGGAAAAAAGTTGGATCAGCAAGATAGTAGGTACTTCAAATAATTAACAAAATGTTAGGTAGGAATATCCGAAGGATATTTGTGTTTTTCTCTATGAAATGGTGAGCATCGCAAAAAACTCAGCTGTTTGGATGTAATACTACAGAAAGGAAAAAAAATTGTTGCGAGTTTTTTTTATATAATTTTGTATAGTATCAATTTGAAGATCTCCGTGAATACATGAATTTGGGATGAACCAGGGTACATTAATAATTTCACGAAGGGTTCTATTTTGAATAACTTAGATCTTTTTTATGTGGATTTTAGAGGCGTGTCACCATACCGGACTGCGTATTTCCAAACCCTACCCCATTTTTCGAATTTTTGACGTCATGGACAAATCGACTAGTTTCGTCTGGATGGTAATTCTTGAGCATGCGTGGAAGGGCGAGAAGTAACATAAACAGAATTTTGGCTTGCACTTGTAAACAGTATTTTGTCTGATAGTGCATTCGTTTATGTAATTGCATAATTTTACTATTTCTGTAATAAGAAAACTTCATTCAGATAAAATTTATTATAATATTATTATTATCTGGTTATAGGATTATACGAAATGCTGAGTACTCTAGGTACTATTGTAATCTTCGCATAACCTTTCACATTGGATTTTGCCTTATCATTGTAAAATATATTGTATTATAAAGATTAAATCAAAGCAAATTACTTTGTTGGAGATGTGAATGTTCTAACTGAATTTTCTTTTTATCACTTATTATTTATTTCCTCTTTGAAAAAATATTCACATTTGACAAATAATTATCTCCGCTGAAAATTTTTTGATTGTTTGAAAACTATATTTGTCAATAATATAATAAAAACTCACTAATCTAGTGCTTCATAGATCAATATGACAACGAATTCAAAATGTTTTAAAAACAGTTCTTAAATCTTTATTGTGTAGTAGATGCAACTAATGTCACAGAGAAAAAATATTTCAATAAAAAAGTTCTCCATGTTAATTCAATAGCAAAATTATTTCTATTTCAGTGAGAAATCCACTTTCAATGCTTATATAACAGAAAAATGGTATATAACATAAGCATTTTAGCAATACATAAGCAGTGGGCTTATATAACATAAGCATTTTAGAAGTTTTAAATATAAGTTCAATGTTTATTGTACAATTTTATGTAAGAAACGTAATAATTTACTTTCATTCCTTTTAAGTTGGCATATTAGTTTCCAATCAACTAAAATTTTTGGCAAGGTAGAGACTTAACACACAGTATTCCGTCACTTAAAATATCAATTAATTGTTCTTTTTCATTTAGAGATACATTGGAATTGAAAATACCAAAGGCAAAATGGGTCACAGATCCAACCTAATTCCTTCTTTGGAAATTTTTCAAAAAATTTTCTGTCAATTTTATCATATGTTGTTTTAAACAAGAAATCTGTATTATTTTCTTTAGTAAATTGTGAAAAAGCATGTTTTTTTTTTTTTTTTTTTTTTTTTTTTTTTGTTGTTGTTTAATTCTTCTTGCCAAAGTATCGACTTAGTTTTAAAAGCTTACATTAGTACACACAGTGTGTCTAGGTAAGATTATTCGTTTCAAAGTGTCTGTTAATAATTTCAAATATTTTCTCTCCAGTTGCTTTTCCTTCCCAAATATTACAACATAAAAAATATTCTACTGCGTCGTCTTCAAAAACATATCTGAGATAAACGATGAATTGAAACATTTTAGTAATGTCAGTAGTTTCATCAAGTTTTATAGTAAAGTCTGGATTTTGTATTCTATAGTGTGTGATATGACAAAAATTTGGTGAGAAACGGTATCTTTTTTTAATGCTATTGTTTTTAAATCGTTACTATATTTTTCTGCATGCATAAATGATGTCATTTTAATTGCTGAAGGAAGAATGAGCGATTCTCCAATTGTATGAGGTTTTTAATTTTTTGCAATTAAATATGAAACTTTTAAGTATGCGTGTAAATCCTTCGCAGGAACTGTTGTATATTTTCTCAAAATTACATTTTAATTTTTCATGCTCTCAGCTAATTCCTTAAAAAAATTCTTCAGATTTATTGACTTAATCTTTATGTTTAGTTTCTGAGGTACTTTTCAGTTTCACTGGCGCAAATCGCGCCAAGCAGACTTTGTTGGTGACAACATACAATATACACATTAAAAAATGTTAACAAACGTTAGTTCTAAGAATTTTTTATTTTGATGGCATAAACATTTTAATATCTTTTAAAATTTTGTAAAAAGCCAATAAATAAAGATAATAAAGTTGTAAAAAGACATTAAGAATTTACTATATTTTCATGGTTCAACATCCTGATTCGCCGGTTCGTATCACGTGATCTCATCTCACGTAAACTACGCTACAAAAATCTAATTCTCTCAGTAATTATCTACATTAGTTTCAAGTTAAATCTTAATTTGGAATACAAGTTTAAATGCAAGAATTATTTCAATTCGTACAAATAGCTTAATCAGAAATTATGTAAAACCGCAGTGCTTTACTTCGCTACTGCATTCTCATTAGAATTGATGAATTTAACCCTTGATTTTGTCTTTTCTATATTTTTGCCTTCGGGTAAGTGATGTGATTGCAGTCTAATTGACTTTAATTAAAGCGAATGGTCTTGGGGCATAAAATTTAAAGATCTTGTAAAAATTCTATGTCGTTGTATGCCAGTATTGAAAGAAACAATCAATCTGATAAGAAATGGCTGCGACTTGTTTTGAAAATGAGACGTTGAAGGTTGGCAGAGAAGATATTCCGTTTGGCATCAGTTGTGCCATTGTTGGCGACTTTATTGTTTGCGGCGGCAAAACGGGAAAAGTACCGTTTCTAAATGTGTTTTAATTTCGCAGGTTTCATGCTTTCCATGTGCCAAGTTTTCACTGCATTTAACACACAAATGGGTATTCATTTTCCATTGATAATGCAACATGTAAAACAGTATAAAATAAACTCTTCTTGATATTTACTCAATTTTTTCTTTTAGAAGTAGAAAGAGAGCCAATGGTTTATTTTTGTTTGCATTTTCATTAATAGTTTTTCTCTAAGTTTATTTGATGTTGGACCATCCATCCGTTTCTTTGTGAAACCCAATGTTCACAAGAGATTTTGGGCCATTTAAACAATCATGAACAAAATTGCAACTAAAAAAAAATTTTTATTATCCTTTGAGACACTACTGAATTTTCCAATGCTTAGGAAATGTTATGTGCTTACTTGACAACAAATTTGATTAGAAATAAGAAACATAGTTTATAAATGATGCGTATTACAATTACAAATTGCATGCAAGACACTACTAAGATAGCCGAAAAAAAACTAAATCTTAGCTGCGCGTATGCAATTGCTTTGAAATTTGATTCGAGCTGTTTGGAAATCATCAAACATAACACATAAATCAAGTGGAAAGCAATAAAATCAGAATTAAAATATGGAAATGTTTAATTTAAAATTCCTGGCAAATGTTAAAAAACATCCAAAATTCTCTTCAAATTCCGTATATCTTTTATTGTCAAATAAATTTCTTTGAATTTGGTGACCCCCCACAAATTTGTTCATGACTCCCAGGTTAAAATTTTGTAAAAAAACAATACAAGTTATCAATTGCATTTTGAAAAAAAAAAAATGATTTCAGGCTTGTCTTCAACAGAACAGCATGCAATAGAGTATTTTCAAATTTACGGAAAGTACGACTTATGTGAAAATTGATAAACATTGGCTGTCCAATGTGAAAAGTGAATTACGGTTTAATATGTTATGTTCATAG